AATTTTCTTGCACCAGCTGTTTATTGTGCTTTATATTGGAACATGACCAAGAAAACAATAAGGAAAGTGTTAGAATAGAAGACAGTGAGATGAAGGGGGCTGTTGTGGATCAAAGTCAGGGTCAGCTGTTGCCTCTTTTTTTTGCCCTGTTTACTTTTTTATTTTTATTTTGCTCCTTTGTCTGCCTGACACTGCTTCGTTAACTCGGCGAGTTATTAAAGCTGTATCTTGTTGCGGAGTGTTAAGAACAAGGTTTGACAGCATGTAGGACAGATGCTGGGAGGTTTGACGAGGAGGAACAGGAACTTTTCGAACATTCAGTAAAGATTTGAGGCCAAAAAAAACTTTTTAGTGTCAGATGTGGCTGAAAATACCTTAAAGAGTTCAATTTACTACTGAATACTCTTCAAAATCTTTATTTGTACAGTGTTTGAGTAAGAAGAGAGGTAATTGTGAGAGAATCGCAGCAGCATGTTCCTTAAATGCTGCAAGAAAAGAACAAAGTAAGTGAGACGGGTTTGTGGAAAAGGCAAGAGAAAGACAGGGAGAGAGAAGTGAGGGTGCAGCAGTGGTTTGCCTTGATGCTAGGTGCTTGTGCCTTTCTCTCTGACTTGATTTACAACAGTTTTGCAGCTCTTCACCGCCGTGTGAGAACCATGACGCTCCAATGAGTCGAGTTAAGTGCAGATGGGAACCTGCCATACTCTCAGTGAACGTTGGATTAACACCAGCAGCAGCAGCATGTACAGCACACACCAATTGTTCACCACCACAGAGTCCCTCCATCACTATGTCTGCCCTCCGCTCCACCCTCCACACTGCCTGTTACACTCAACTAACCAGGTGTTACTACACCTAAATAGGCTTTCACCAGTCTGACAGCTAACAGCATTTTGGCTTTTAAAAATAATAATAATAATAATAATAACTTTAGCCCTGTGAGACTAAATTTTAAAGCTATATTTGGTTCAGCAATGATTGTACTTTAATATTGGGCTATGTTAAAAGGCCAAAAGATGCTATTAACTGATGAGAAGATTGAATTGACAAGAGTCTCATGTCTTAATTGTAAATAAGACATGAGACTTAGGAGAGATTTAGGAGAGAATAATGGCCCGGTTTGTGTGAAAGACTTTGGTTTGATTTATGGGAAATTTCCAGGAAATCTTGTTTGTTAAAAGCCCTCCTACATATTTGGTTTTGTAATCGTTAATGAAGACAGAATGTAACTCTGAGCTTTATATCTCCAATATAGCCTATTGGAAGGCTAACTCTTTTCTTTGCAATTATAATCAAGCTAACAGTTTCCTCGCTGTAGCCTCATGATGTTCATTCACTCATATGTGACAACAAAAGTAGACTTCTCAGAGCAGGACACAATCTGAAAGGCCAAGAAAATGCCATCTGATGCCAACTGTCACAGCAGAAGTTGTTCAGGTGTAACACATCCTGTAGTCCAGTTCAGACATTTCTGTTTAGCCCTGTCTTACCTCTGATTCTCCCTGAAGCCTGCAGCTGAGACCAAAGATGGGGGAAAGGTTTTGCTCTGGAAAACTTATGAGAGCAGCTCCAAAATGTTTCCACTTGATGTCAGAACTTTGTCTCTGAGTGCTGCTGCTGCTGTGTGCATTAGCCAAAGGCCCTGTTGATTTCTAGTGATTATGTGTTATATGATTAATATGACGTTATGGTGTCGTACTAAATGTTGTTGGAGATGTAAATGTCCATTTTTGTTGTGTTTTAAATGAGCGACTCAAGCCAAACGAGGTTTGATGATGTGAAACGTTTTGGGGAGAAGAAGCTTTTTGGTGTTTGTTAACTCAAACTTGTCCATGTGCCTTTGTTAGTATAGCAATATAAGACGTGTCTGGGAAGAGGAAGACCTCTGTTAGCCTGCCTGGAGATGTTTCCTCTCTGTGTATAAGCTTTATTCAAACCAAGTCTGTCTGTTGATTCACAGATACACTCTTGTTATCACTCCTGAGTTACTGTATCCACCAAACCAATGTAGAATTCTGCCAACACACTAAACCATGACATAGAATTTGAAGAATGAATAAATTTGAAAATTAAAAACAAACTGGCTGTGTCTGCTGGGTGTTGCTTTTTATGTGTGTGTGACCTATCCTTTTTTCCAAAGGGGTTGTTAAGTAGCCCAGAGTTAATAAAATGGCAACAACATGCAACCTTGCTTTAGCAGGGTCCAGAAATGCCTGCTGATGTGTTCTGGGTTTTTTTCTAATATTTTCCAGGTTGGTTTACAATGTGAATAAGACCAAGTGCAAATCTCAGAGTTAGGGTGTGTAACCAAGATTGTAATTTATTTATTTTTTTTGAGATACCTGAAAACATTCATATTTATAAATGATTAGCAACTGAAACTAAACACGAAACGCTTAAAGTGAACCGGTTATGCTAATCCATATAATAAACCCTTATCTGCCACTTTATTAGGTGCTAGACCTGAGTTGGACCCTTTTTGTCTTCAAAGCTCTTTTTAATTCTTCGTGGCTTCGATTCAGCAAGGTGCTGGAAACTTTCCTCACAGATGGCTTTGTGGCATGATGTGTTATCCTGCTGGAAGCAGCCATCAGAAAATGCTACACTGATCATGAAGGGATGGACATGCTCCGCAAGAACACTCAGGTAGGCTGTGACATTTAAGCAGTGTTCAGGATGTACTAAGGGCCTAAAGTGTGCCAAGAAAATAGCCCCCACACCATCAGGCCGCCACCTGCAGCCTGAACCATTGATACAAGGCAGGATGGATCCATGGTTTCATGTTGCCTACGCTAAATTATGACCCTACCACCCAAATGTGGCAGCAGAAATCAAGACCCATCAGACCACATCCATGTTTTTCCAGTCTTTTGCTGTGTGATTTGGTGAGTTGTAGTTTGTTTCCTATTCTAGCTGGAAGGAGTGGTACCCAGTGTGTTCTTCTGCTGCTGTAGCCCATCTGCTTCAAGTTTAGACATGTTGTACATTCACAGATGCTCTTCTGCATATGTTGATTTAAATGAGTGGTTATTTCCTTTGGTCACACTGCTTTGAGCAGATACTAGTCTACTCTGACCTTTGGCATCAATGCTGGATATTCTCTCTGTAAACAGTAGAGATGGTTGTGTGGGGATATCTCAGTAGATCCATTTTTGAAATACTCAAACCAGCCTCACTGGCACCAACAATCAAAAATCAAGTCACTTAAATCACATCCTCTCCTCTTTCTTATGACTAGTTTGAGCATCAGCAGGTTGGTTTGACAGATGTGTCCACGACCAAATACATTGAGTTGTTGCCATGTGATTGGCTGATTAGATATTTATGTTAAAGAGCGGTCGATACAGTCATCAGTGAGTGTAAAAGGTTTAGGTGATAAGCAAACTGATTGGTGAGTGTTTATACAGCGTGTTTCAGATAAACAGGTCACTATGTGCACAAATGACCCATGTGAGGCAAATGCTCCACCCACCTGCCATTCAAACTTTCTCTTTGCGAGGGACAGCCAATCAGGAGAAAGTTAGCTTAAAAGTGTTCAGTGGATGAACCGAGGAACCGCACCAGGCCTCGGTATATGATTAATAAGGATCGTTTTCAATGTTGAAACATGGAAAACTACTCCATCAGAGTCCAACAAAAGTAGTATAGAGGTAAAAACTGTCATTACAGGCCTATTTAATTTTTTTTAAAAATCTGTTAAAAATAAGAAATCAAATTAAACATCAAAATGATGGAACAGTAACAAGTTGTATTGTTATATTGACAGGAAACAACAAAGCTTATAAAAACTGTCAAACACCTCCCTATACTTCATGGTGTAAGTGTATATGCTGTGCAGCTGCTCAAGTTCACCCTGTTGTATCAATCATTAACTAATTTAAAAAAAATCCAAGTTGGATGTTTTATAAAATACAGATCAAACTGATAGCATCAGAAAACTGTTTTCATGCACAAACTGCACTGCAGGCAGTGAGACGTCAGAACCACAACGGCTCATATCATATTCTTCATTTAAACCATGTGGGGATAGAACCACATGCAGGAGTCCAATCTGATCCAAATGACCTCCTCAAAAGATCAGGAATGGTTGTGTCTGTGCTACAAAATACCTAACATGTCACAAAAGCAGTGATCTCCATCTCCAAAGTGTCTGTTGTTGTGGGGAGGATGAAATAGGAATGGAGCTATGTCCAGATTAATACAATCAACTTTTTGGAATTGAACGTGCATGAAGACCGTTATCTCATGGTAATTTGTTTGAATCTGATTCAACAGACTCCTTTAAATGGCTCCACTGATCACGTGAGTGCTGATTATGTGATTCTGCTGTCAAACAGTTTAGAGGTCTGTGCTATAGTAAACACTAGGTTTCCCGCTGAACCTTTGAGAAGCACGTTTTCAGTGGTTTAACTGTCTGTATAATCTCTGCACTGCGCTGTCCTGGTTTGAGGCAGCCAGCAGGTGTCGCCCACTGAGAATACTCCCCTGGTGTTATTTGCCCTCCTCAGAGGAGCTTTTTCCTCTGGACCATGTAAACCCTCCTCTCCTGTAGTTCAAGGAATCCTGCATTTGGCACGAAGCTGAAAGTAAACAGGGTGTCACCTCATATTCTGGTGGATTTATGGGCAATTTGTGGCTTACATAAGCACACACACCTCACGAGGCTTTTCAGAAGTTTCCTAGTTTACCGTAGCCCACTGACACCTTTAATGCAGATGCAGAACATTTTTTCCTCCACAGATCACAGCTGGACAGTCTGGGTTGTGCTGTCCTCTTTATGACACTGTTTTTGTTTCACAGTGAGAGCTACATAATGACCAGCTGTTCAGTCCTTGTCCAAACAAGCCCCCACAGTATATTTCTTAATATATTGTGAAACAGTGCACATGTATAACATTGGAGCGCTCTGATTGGCCACGGCTGGTCTCTAGCTCAGCCAGTAGCCAATGGAGAGGCTCTGTTGTTTGTGTACCGCTGCTGCGCTCATATAAAAGAGGAGGCGACGACCCCCGAGAAGGAAAACTGAGAACTGAAGAAAGCCAGGGGGCACCTGGCTGTGAGCTGTCACTGCTGCCCCGCGTCTCTTCCACCGACCGACGCTCTCACCCGCAGAGGCGGATCTGACTGCGAGGACCGAGCCGCTCAGCTGAACCCCCCCACACCCACGCCACCTCCAAGACCCATAGACGCGCGCGCTTCAGGTGAGGTTCGCACCAGAGGATGCTCTGCAGACACTGCTCCCCGGGGAAGAGGCTGCACATACTCTGAGAGGACATGATCTGTGACAGGCGGCGTGTTGCAGTGTCCTCCTTCACTCACAGTGTCTCCGCTTTGCTTAAAGGCTGCTGAGAGGAAGCTCGAGCTGCAACAGCCGTGACTCTCTCATCAACTTCATCCAGCCTCTCACTGTGTGTCAGTCATTTTCCATCCGCGCTTCGTTTTTTCAGCGCTTTTTTACAGCAAACTTACAACTGATATGATAACACAGTCCGTATTTACACAGGCACTCATACACACGAACATACTTAATTTTCCTCTCTTTATTAATCATTAATAACCAAACTGTTATTAACCAAACTGAAGGTGCCTTTAAAGTACTGGTTCGATTTATGGTAAAAGTAATGTGACGGAAGCTGGTGTCAAGAAGCAAAGTGATAGCGGGGATGCTTTGTTTTGGAGGCTGTTTGTGTCTAGTTAACTGTCTTTGTTTGGGCATGATTACGGCGGTTCCCCCTGAGCTGTTGTTGATACTGAACAGCTGAGAGCTTCTGGCTGAGATCGGCGTCAAAGTGCTGAAGCCTAAAGTGTGCAGACCCGGAAAATCAGACGAAGTGGTTTTCAAAAATAAAAGCAGCAAGAATGCGTCGAGCGCTGAGAGCGCGCGGCTGAACGCGAACGCGTTTTATATTGAAATTCAAAACCGGAATAGGAATATAATGTTCTGTGTCGCGTGCAGGGGGCTGGAGATGTGGATCGAGGAAGGTGGAGGGGGTGTTTTGTGCGGATGCTTTTAGTCCAGTTCAGACCAGTTCTAAGGCTTCTGCTTGTTCATCGCAGTGTTCTTTGTGTCATTGTTCAGTACGACAAAGCTGTTGCTGAGAAATGCACAAACTTCTAATGAACTCTGGTCTGTGTGTGTTCAAGCTATATTAGCGTATTTTCACGGTCGTTAGTGTTGGGGTCGTCGAGTTAGGCTATCTCAAGTTTATATTCACACAAAAATGCGGACAGTAGGTTTAAAACGGTCTTCTTTCAAAAGATGACTGTCTAAGATGAACAAAGTGAAGGGAACAGATAGGTTATGTGTTCCAGCCAGATGGAGTTTTTATCTGGTTATTAAAACAAGTACAATTACACATAATGTCGCTCAGTATTATCAGATAAATGTTGGCTGGGTGTTCGTAATAAATTCATTTCTGTATGTCTGAATACATTTCCAGTGAGTATTTTTTGCGTTATGACGTTTGCCTCTGTAACAGTGCACACTGCACTAACAGCTCCTGTTGAGAAGCGCTCGCGCTGAACACCAACCAGCAGCAGCTGAGTCTCGCGCCGCGCTGGTTCGAACCGGCTGAGCTTGCGCTGCATTCAATTGAAGTGGGATTTTCGGACCACGTTTGTGACAAAGGGTTGCCACACAACCCCAAATAAAACGCCTCACGTTTCAGCAAAAGCAGAGGAGAAGTCGTGTCCTGTAAAGGCATTTTTTATTTTAAAACTAAACTAAAATTTAAATCTTACAGTTTCCACGTCAAAACTTATACAAACAACATTTTCAAAAATGTAAACACCCTCTGCTGTGTCCTATTCGGGTGGAATACAACAGCAACCTCACGTGTAGCTGCTGTACAAACAACCAATAAGAGGAGACCTGTTGTACCCTGGAGTCAATCAGATATGTTAGGGGGAGACAGTTTAATATTTATAGGAGGGGTTTGCTTCTCAAATGTCTCAGCTGTTTTCAGTTTGTGACTGTCTTCTCGATCACAACCGTCCTCAGTAGGTTAGAAAAAAAAGACCTGTACTGAATATGGATCCAGGAATCATCTAAAACACTTGCAAGAGGTCATATTGTTCAAATATTTCATAATGTTAAAGAACTACATGAACTAGACTTAACGAAAATAATTATAAATAAACCTGTAAGAACTACCTCACCATGGGTATAATTTCTGGTTGTCATCTTGTCTCTGCTGTCTCCATCTTATCTTCCAGGCTTAAGCAGCCCTCCTCATATTCGGTCAGGTCTAGCACATTGCTACCTCTGATCCATCCAAAATGGCTCCTACTCTGGCCACGGCCTTCTCCCGCCGCTGGTGGATGGCGGTTACAGCAGTCATTGAGAACCTGCTTTTCTCTGCTGTGCTTCTTGGCTGGTCGTCCCTGCTCATCATGCTCAAGTCAGAGGGCTTCTACTCTTACCTGTGCAAAGGACGAGGTGAGTCTACTTTACTGTAATTGGGTTATCATGTGTGGTTTTGGTGAGGGGGGTTGTTTACTTGGAGTCCTTGAGCAAATGAGTATCTGCTGAGGGCCCTTTTGACCTGTTTTAACAAAAACACATCAAATTCATTCATTTTCCATCCTTTCTTCCTTTCTGCATGACGATCCCCTGAGCTGGTAAAAAACTGAAAGCCTCAGGACATTGATCTGAACACTCAGGTGTACTTGCTGTTCCGCTGCTGTGGAATTATGCAGAACACATAAGCAAGTGTGCAAACCTTTTTCTAGAAAGTACCCATGTTTTATCTTACTGTGGCACCTCATCCTCAGTGCAGTGTGTTACCTCTCAGCAGGAGCAGGACCTTTGAGAAAAGTGCCTGCCTGCATATTGGCAAACAAGAGCTTCTCGTTGATCCAACAGTTGGCTTCTCCTTGTGGAAAACGGGTCATTATGGCGACAGCAGCCTAGGTCTGAAAAACCCTCGAAAGCATCCATAAAGTGCTCCTGCACAACAATGCCACAGATGCATCAGAGATGGTCATTTTGTTGTTATTTGATTCTGTCTCCTACTTTGTGATCAAAGATGATGCAGTGAGCTGCTGTACTCAGAGGGTTATAATTTGGTTATGAAAGATTGCCCTGTTTAAAAAGCAAAAAAACCCAACCAGATGAGGACAGTGGTTCCTCCATCCTAGCATTCGGTAATCAGTGCTGTCCACAGAAACAGTGTAGAGGAGGTGAAATGTAACAGCATGCTGAAGAGAACTGGCTGCTTCATCTTCATCATCAGGGATTGAGTTTATATCCATTGCAGCCCGTCTGTGAAGGAGACCATTCATCCCTTCATTCTCCACAGTGATCATCAGACAGGCTGCTCTCTGTCTTTGTCTCTTTGATCCTCTGATTGTATCTTCCTCTGTGTATTTCTCTCTTTGTATCCTACAAAGCAGCAGCTGCGAAAGCCTTGCAGGGTTAATTTGTGCATATAAAGCCTTTTTTAAATCAATTTAGCTCTGATAATTCTCTTTCTCTGACTGTTTTGCTCGGGTCATTTCCTTATCTGTTTGCTCTGATTAAGCTTTAGGTATCTCTTACTGTTGACTCAGCTCCTTCCACAGTGACCTGACCTCTGGCACATCAGTGTAGCCCCACACTTTTAAAAACCACCCATTATTGTGTTAAATCTGCATTTTGTTTTTGTTTTTTTACATTTCACTTCAATTGTGAGAAGTCTGTGAGTGAAATTAGGAGGAAAAGGCATTTTTCTGCAAACAGACGCCCTGATGAGGGAGGAAAGGGGTGCTTTAGAGACTTAAATATGAAGGCACAGTGTGAATGTATCATTCTTTGTGTGACTGATATTCTATTTGAATGAGCTGTTTGTTCAGTTTGCGCATATATCTCACATCAAATCATAAAAATAGACAGTTTGTGTTCCTAACCTTTGGTGTTTCTATGGTGTGAAGTTACCAAAACAGCTTTTTTATAGTTTTATTGCTTTACTCCAAAGGAAATCATGATTTCAGTACTTGAAGTAGAGTGCTGCTGCTCTGTTTGTATTTTACCTGTTGTGGCTACATGGGTAGGTGTACAGACTTGTAACAATCACTTGACCTTTGCATAATAACTACATCCTTACACGAGCCACTGATCACAAGAAGCACAGCCTTCCTAAGAGGTCACTTCTCTGTTTTTGTGTTAATACAGCTGCTGTAGCATGGTTGTGGTTTGTGGGCTCTAGAGCGATGTTTCTCTTCATGCTCTCCTGTCAGTTGACTCTTTTAGTGACAAGCTACGTTTCTTGGTAAACAGTCAAGCCAAAAGAACAGTGCTCTTAGCACATTGCAGTAATGATGAAACCAAATCACTTTGTTGTAGATGAGACTGTTTGACATCCTTTGTATCCACAGGAGGAGTTTATTAAACAAAAGGCAATGTTGAGAATCTTAGAAGGTTCCTGTGGTGTTGAAAAGAACACTGAAGAGCGGTGGACGTATGTGACTTATCAGAAAGACGTTTTCAGAGAAGGGGAGTTGGAGCTTTATGCCTCAGTGTGTTTGCGTGGACATGTTTCTTCCATTATTGACTCATGTTTGCTGTGGCCATTTGATTAGTCAGCAGTAGTTGGGGCTACTGGAGGACAGATGCTGTTATCTTCTTTCACAGTCAGCACTTAATGCTGTTGTCTAGTTGATGTGAAATACCTGCCTGGGAGGCAGAGCACATAATCTATAATTGACAATAATATTAGATGAAAAAAATTTTTTTTCAGATGTGGTGCCCATATGAAAGACTCTATTGACTGTTGTGATCACCTTACTTTACTAACCAGATGTGTTTCTTGCTACCAGGCAAGGCCAGCAACAAACGTTAAACTGCAGCAGTGGCAATGTGCAAAGTCATCTGACTTCCCCACCTGACTTCACCCTGTCGGGTTGTTAGCATAGCTAGCAGGCTGAACGTTCATAGACAACTGGATCTTGTGCATTGTTATCAAAATAAAAATGATGTCTTTCATTTTATAGGACTGTTGTTGTTGGTTATAACATAATCAGAATCAGGTAAACTTTATTAATCCCAGAGGGAAATTGAGTTGTCACAGCAGCAAATATACAGCAAACATCAAGAAGATTACTTCGGGGGGTGCCTCTTGTGAATCTTTGCCCAGGGTCTCAACAAATTTAAGAACCGCCACTGTTATTAACACTATAGGTGCCATTTAAAATGTATTCAATGTAATATCTTGGAGTTATTCGTGGTTCCCAGTGGATGAATCAGTGTGGCTTTTAATTTCACATATGTGTACTGGCTCTTTTTTTAAAGAAAAATTTTAAGATTTTGAGATTGGAAGCTTAATCCCAAACTGTAGAAACAGCAACCAAGGAAATGCACTGTTGAGTTTATCCATTTACTCTAAATCAGTATGATGATGATGCACCCTACCTTGTGGGAAGATCCTACTGTGTGTTTCATTAATTCAATCTATATTGAGGATGCGTTTGAATAAAATGTATCACATTAGAGGTGGAAGACATTTAGTAACATCCCACAGATCATTCCACGTTTGTGCCCTCGTGCATAATCGAGCTCTTCTGCATGTGTTTAGCTAAAAGCAGCTTCTGGAGCTCAAGTGTCCTTGTGTTCCTCAGTGAATGAATGCACCAGCATTAGAATGACCCTGCAGTCATCAGATATTCATTAAGCCACGTTACCTTTCACCTCCTCTCATCACAGGGTGCATGCCAGTTTTTTCTGCACCATTCTGCCTTAAATATGAAATAACAGCTTTCTGTTGGTCCCGAACCAATGCCTAAGGGGTTTGAGACCAACAACAACAACAACACATCCGTCCTCCCATCCTCACTTTTCCCTTGAGTAGAGCTCAGTGACACACTCTTGTAACGGGAAACAGATTTCCAGTTCTGTTTACACTGAGTGTGCAGAGGCTTCAGCTGCTGTTGCAAACTTGCCCGCAGGACTCAAATAAAGAAAACACTCAGATGACTTTCTTTAAAGCTCCCTCCTCCACATATGAAGTATGTGGTAAATGCTGATTTGACTTGTATTGTTTTCCTTGCCTAATCAAAGACGAGTTGCTTTCCTCAATCATCGCTCCTCTGTGTCCTCTGTCTATCTGTCTGACAACAGCAGAGTTTACCCAACAGCAGCGGTCTTATCGAGCACAAGGACAAAAATAGACTCCACATGAACTCAGTGGACTGTGTTTACCAGTAATTCACCAGAGGAGGCAGACTGATTAAAACTGTTACAGAGTTGCCCTGCACCATGCAGGGGGTTCAGTTTGGGTCTATTTCTGGTACTTGTTTACCCTGTATTGGGTTGTTTACTTGACCTTTGAATGAGTTTCCTGGCTTTTTTGATCAGAAGCTCAGCTCTGAGAGGGGAGGGGTGGCTGTAAAAGCTCAGTATTCCAAGAACAATATCAGAAATAAGCTCTGAAAAAGCAAGCAAGTGTTCATTTCAGATCTCACCTCTAGAAATGTCTAGAAAACTGTGTCATTATGTTGCAAAATGGAAATACTGGGAAAAAAAGTACATAAAATTCTGTCTGCTCTTATTTCCAACCAGAAAACAGCTCCAGCTTCAACTTCTCCAACACATCCACCCCTGCAGCCAAAGGTGCAGAAGAAGAGTACTTGGAAATGAACAGCTGGCCCATCTGCAAAGACCAGGATGAGATGCTCAACCTGGCCTTTACTGTGGGTTCCTTCTTGCTGTCAGCCATAACTCTGCCCCTGGGTATTATCATGGACAAATACGGGCCGCGGAAGCTGCGACTGTTGGGGAGGTGAGCCCGTGAATCCTGCTGTCTGTTGGATAGTGATGGTTCTTTTCTTGTCCAACCTATTTTTCATAGCCGACTGCTTTGTCTTTCCAGTGCCTGCTTTGCCTTCTCCTGTCTTCTCATCGCCTATGGTGCCAGAGACCCCAACAGTACGTACCTCTACCTGTGTCACATACATCTCATTACATTATCACGGCTCATATGATGTATTAATGCTAATTAATCAGATACAGTATGTGAGATTCATCATGTGTTGGCCTAGTAAGTCGGTCTAGTAACATCTGCGTGTGTTGCTTTCTCCGGTAGATCTGTCCATCCTGATCTTCTTCGCATTGGCATTGAATGGGTTTGGAGGCATGTGCATGACCTTCACTTCACTGACGGTAAGAGATACTTTACGAAGCTCACATATTGGGACATACTTAGCTTTGGTCTGAAGCGCTGCTTCATTCCTACTTCTCCACAAGTCTTGTTTTTTACTGGGCGGTGACTCTCATGATTGGGACAGAAAACTGCATGTATATAATCAGCAATCAAACAACAACAACAAAAAATAACTACATTTGCCCCAAAATAAGCTTTTGAGAACCCTTTTTCCACTGGACCTTTAGCTTTCACTTCATTGCTGGGGAATTCTTCCTTGGTATGGTTTCAGCATTTGTTCACTGTTGAGTCTCTCTCTTATTTGACTTGGTAGTTGCCTGCTGAGGCTGTAATCTGTGCAGGCCACTGTGTGGTTATAATACATTCTGTGAATGAAATGTTATGACTTGAACAGTGCATAGAGTTTTAAACATGAAACCTTCGGTCACGTTATCAGGATATCCTTCATAACTCATCGAGGCACGCTGAAGAATCCCTTCACCCTGCGAAATGTCTCATAGCTCTACAAATAAAGTGTTGTGGAATACCTCAGTGCTTTTCATTTATTAGGACAACAACCTCATTTTTCAAGGAAAGGTAGTGCCGCCAGCTTCTCCGCAATCCGACACTAAAATCTCCACTTCGTTGGCAATTACATGTAGTTTGTTTCCTCTCTGAATGACAGCCTGTACTAAATATCAGTGAGCCACAACATTGTGATATCTGGAGAAATGAAAAGGTATTAAAAGGGGAGATGGAGGAAGAGAGTGAAGTGATGGCTTCAGACGTGCATACAAAGAAGTGAGGGGCAGAAAGATGGATGCATTCGACAGAGGAAACATTTAAAAAAGATGGCTGGAGGAAGAGCTGGAGAGAGACGGCTGACAACAGACTGCTTGGAGGAGAGGGATAAGAGGTGGTGTGCAGATAGGAGAAGGGTGGTGAGGGATGCAGTGACTGAGGATAGCCAGTGGTCAGGATGACCTCATCAGAGAAAGTGCTGCATCACAGGAGAGGACACGTGAGCAAGAGAGTTGTTACAAGGCAGAGAGCAGTGATCTATTATTCACTCCTGCTCTGGCTACGAGCCAAATAAAGACCTCTCCTCATTATTATTTCATCCACACGAGGACGTGTGTGTGTGTGTGTGTGTGTGTGTGTGTGTGTGTGTGTGTGTGTGTGTGTGTGTGTGTGTGTG